ATGAATCCCAACAAACCATGTTTGCCTACTGGAAGGACCCAGTAACAATCGCGATAGATTTCCAAATACGAACTTGCTCCCGATATCTTCATGCTTGGGCCGTCTTATTACCATTTTAGGAGACAATGCCGACCTTATTAGAACAGAAAGTTCTGGGGTATTCGTAATCAGTGTCATATCAAACGCCTTGCACAGGCGGTATATCCAGTCTTTGGCTCAGCGATGACCGCCGAATTGCGCGTACTTCTTCGGAACTCGGCACAACAAATGAAATAGAACCAACGATAGTGACTTGTGATATCCTTGTCAAGTGGTTGTGGAGAGATACCCCGGGCTAAATGCCTGTAACTGGTGGTTGCCGAAGGTGTCAAATAGCCTGAACAACAGATGAAATTCCTACAAGACGGATGGATATAGTTGCTTAACAGGGCTTCCTTTACTCCTTTTCGTCCCAGGGAGTATGATGAGTTGCTCTAGATTGTCATGACCCCCACTGAAGAGACTATTTCACTGAATATTTGGAATACTATTGTCGGAAGCTGTTTGGCTCAAAAGTAACAACCCTAGCCACGGTGACAAAAGCAGATATCCCTTTAGTCCAACAACAGTATGCAATGCTGGTCACATCGGGGATATAATTGTGCCGTCTTCATCTAGCACCCATACAACTGGTGGATAATTAGCAGGGAATGTGGGAAGTAGAGTGCAGCTTGAGCCCATAGAGGATAGATGGGGGTTCATTACGAGTACAGAATACACTTCACTAGCATGATATACGATGAAGACTTTGGTTGAGTGTGTCTATGAAAATGGCTTCAACCCCGTTACCCTGAATATGCGTATCTAGAAGTTTGATCTCCTATGGCAATTTCTTGGTCAAGGAACAATGAAAAGAATTAAAAATAGGTAAAGAATCATATGATATATGGAAGCTACAATGAACATACTAATCATGACACTGTAGGCCGTTTACCCGATGCCTACCTAGTAGTAATAATAGCTCCACACTCAGTAAAAGTTGCGATGATGGGAGCAGTGTACCAGTTGTAGTAAGACATTACCAATTGAGTATTGCAGCACACGACTCAATAGTATAGATCGCCAACTGCCAAGACTTGGATAAATACAACGTCAAAGCCCGTCTAGTGAGGCGCAGCGAATCAAATAAATGCCGACATGTTGTATGTTGCGACATGCGGCATAATATGGACCTTTGGGGTACAACGGCCAACCTAAACAGGACTGTTGACTATTCCATTTAACAGTACTGGACATGGTTCATCCACATGTGTATAGCTTCTCAGCTCTCTCATGTATGCAATTGATGCACGGAGTTAAACAAGGTTGGTTAGTTGGCTGTGAAAACTCGTGTTTGCAATGTGGGTGCGTGGCGCAGTACGTGGTCATTGCGTGTACACTATTGTTCCAGAGATGTAAGCCGATAGACCGAACAGCGCCGAATGGACAACGCGGCAATGTGAAACAAGGAGGCTTTAATATATCACAAAAAAGAATGAGTTTAAAAGTATTAACGTTATTCGTAAATACGAAAATGCGGTTCGACAGGGCTCGAAACAGTGGCATGGCTTGCATGGGTGCCATAGACGCGGCCTCGAAATAGAACTGAGGCAATACGAGAAAAGGGACGCAAAAGTGGCACCGCGGCAGAGGGCATGACAGATGCGAGTACGTGGACTTCTAATATTCCCTGCTAGAGAAGGAGAAGCAAAAACTAGCCAATAATTTCGTAATCCAAGTTGTGATTCGTCTTACCCGCGGGAATCTCATGTCCGCAAATGTCACTCTCTATCTCCATGGCGGGGAGTCTCTTTAGATCCGTTACTCTACCATTAAGTATTCTTGGCATTGCTTTTTTCGTCTTTAGTTTCCAATTGCCGCTCTATCTTATGGTCTTCTCGTATCATAATGCGTGGATCTCTCGCTCGTTTACGCGCTTGTTTTGAACGTTCACCAAGAACCGTCGTCTTGTTCATTGTCGTTACTATCGTACTCTATTTCAGTATCCGTGACGTCGCTGGCGATGTTATCATAGAGACACTGGATTCGCACTATCCGACCAATGGATCTCTCAGGGACATCTTGAGGATAGCAAGAGACTACCACAGGCACCCTATCGAGCCTCCATACAAAGACAAGTTTTGGGAAGTTGGTCAACGATCTCGCAGCTTGACCCAATGGCTTGATAGCCTTGATAGCCCATGGGGGTCTAAACTTCGCAACTTTGAGAAAGAGAGGCTTATTGAAGCGATCGAGACGACAGCTACCTCCCTATTTCCATTTCTCATCCCAGAGCCATCAAAACAAGGTGGCAAAACACCACTTTTGGACTTGCAGCGCTCTTTTACCAAAGGTTCCCAGGGGATCGTCATCCCCGCCGGCGGGAGTGATCTACAAATCAGATTTGCGGGACATTTGATTGCAGCTCTCAGAGAGGTCTTTGGCTGCTTGCTGCCCATCCAGATTGCCTATGCCGGGGATTCTGACCTGCCAAAAGAACGTCGCGATGCCCTTTTGTCGTTTGACAAAACAAACAATACAGAATTCCTAGATGTGTGGACCGTATTCGACGATGAAACTCTGCGTCTTCGGAGAAAGGGCTGGGCCATCAAAGCGTTTGCGGCTCTAGCATCCAGATTCGAACAAGTCATTGTTGTCGACGCCGATGCCGTGTTTCTTCAATCGCCGGACGTGCTTTTTCAACAACGAGCGTATGTCGAAAACGGAGCGTATTTATTCCACGATCGACTACTATGGCAACATTCTTTCGAAGACAGACACGAGTGGTGGAAAGACCAAATCAAGGAGCCATCACCGGCAATGAACAAATCTCTCGTCTGGACCGAGGACTACGCGGAAGAATGCGACTCAGGGGTCGTCGTCCTCGACAAGTCCCGAACCGAAGTCTTTGTTGGCCTACTCCATATCGCATGGCAAAACTCATGGGCTGTCCGAGATGAAGTTTCCTACAGGATCACCTACGGAGATAAGGAGACGTGGTGGCTTGGGCTAGAGCTTGCCGGCTCAAAATATGAATTTGAGGAGCACTATGGCTCAATCGTTGGGTGGGAAAGGGAAGGGAAGCCCGATGAAAAGGCGGTATGCAGCTTTGTTATTGCGCATACGGATGAAAAGGACAAGCTACTATGGTATAATGGCAGCCTGCTAAAGAATAAGCTGGTAGATCCAGACGGGTACGAGGTTCCATTGTACTGGATGATGGAGGGAGAGTGGCAAAAGGGAGGGAAGAAGGACATGAGCTGCATGGTGGGAGCGACGAGAAGGCGATTGACTGGCGAAGAGATTTCGATATTGCAGGACAGCATGGAGGCAGCTGTCAAGGTGGATGCAGTGATAGCCAGCATGAAGGAGGAGAAGGACGCATCGTGAACATGGATGTTGATAGCAGTCTATACATTGGGTGGGAAAAGCGTGTTGTTTGCTATTAGCGAAATTGGAGCTGATTGATGACAGCCATAATTTCAGGATACCAAGACGAAGCGTTTCAGTACTTTCCTCTATATTACTCATACGATTAAACGACATATTAATCACAAATTAATCCTACTATCTCCATCGTGATGATGGCGGAGATGACCACTGAGAGTTGTGTGTAATACCCTGGAACAGTACATACAGCACATGAGCATCCATAGCTGACTGCCCCTGCTGAGTCATGGTTTAGCTCCCGAAAGGATCGTGCCTCCTTCTGCTTCTGTCCATTGCAAGAAACAATCCTTGCCTCAACATTTAACCGTATCAACCTTTTTACAACGTCAATGGAAAAAGGGGCAGCAATCGATGTGTGATTCAGCTGCTCGATTTGGCGGGCTCGGGAAAAGCCCTCCGGCAGCCAAAGATTGTTCACTTTTCTCCCTGATTTTTTGCATCCAGTGGGCCATGGATGAGCTGATGGTGATGGTGGCTCAGCCAAAAACCAAACCAGCTTCAGTGCCTCCCCACCCGCGCCATCTACGCAATCTCGAGCCGATCGCTTCCTAACACGCCCATTTCCGAGATCTCTGGGCTTGGCGATCTTCGGTTTTGCGACATGGTTTACAGCATGATTTTCCTTCGATTCATTTTTCGATGATTCTTGTGCGACGAGGTGGCATCATTCTGAAACAGGCGATATCATCACTAGCCATGCAGCTTTGATTCCCTTGCATGGCGAGCATGGTTACGTCGTTGCGACATGATGATATGGGATCCCAGCCGATGGAAGCACAAGCATAAGCACAAGCAAAAGACAGCAAAAGACAGCACAGCACGGCACAGCAAAACAAACAAAATCTCACAGTGCGAAGCCTTGTAGATAGCACCCCCAAGAGCTCATAGTGATTGGGGTTGAAGATTCCCGAGCCGCGAACGCTGTGGCCTCAATCGCCAGAATGACGAAAGACCCAAAGTTTTCTCAGCTGAATGCATGCATTACTGCAAATACTGGAGCTGCCAAGCTCGGCTCACGACCTTAATCTGCAGCTCGAGCTGGAAGCTAGATCCCCACCAACTTGTCTGATGCGCTTCTCTAGCTAGCTCGTGGCGGCCATCACAATACGTCATCGAAGAGACATCCGCGGATCAAGTTTGCAGCTCTGATAGCGAGCATCGACGTTTGCCACGGCACGGTCGGCTTGTGCAAATAAGTTGGCGCCATGGAAGCGATTCAAATTGACTTTGTCCATCTCGACAAATTATCCTGCTCCACGGCTCTTGCCAAGGCGCGTTATTCCCCGCGTTGGTTTCTCTGTGAATGCGTGGTAGCTGCCGTTGATGCTGTCAGAAGGGAATCGAGTACATGTATATCTGCGGATTCGCTCGTCGTCATAACTCACCTAGATCTTACCTAGCCTGATCTTGAATTCTCCGATGCCTAGAATCGACAACTTTCCGGAGCTCTCAACTTCGAATTAATTTATCAAATAGAAGCAGTTGTCTCTCATCCTCCTAAACCAGAGACAAGCTTCTTTATCACCGGCGCCATGAACGTCGACGACCATGTGGTGCCCTCGGGCGGGCAGCACTACAGCGCCACCAACCGTGTGCCCAATATCCAGGAGTTTATGCAGCGTCTTGACGCGGAGAAGAAGCAACGAGATGCCGAGATTGACTCCGAGCTCAGACGCAACAAGCGCAATCCTGATGTCAAAGTCCATCGCAACGAGCTTCTCAAGAAAAAGGGCACGCGGAAAGTGCGTGATCCAGTCACTGGAAAGGACATTGAGATTCGTGATGCGGATATCGATTTCACCGAAGCCGTGGAAAACCCACAAGTATGTTTCTTTTCCAAATCTGAGCGCGTCTCGATAGCCTTATGCTCAACTAACCTTTCGAACAGATGTCTGTTCCTAACGGGAACCTGGGAAAGCCTGCCACCATCGCTACCTCATCTCAACAGTCTGGTGAAGAGTACCGCTATGCTCAAGATGTAACTGCACCTCCAGATCCCATCCAAGAGGGATCAACTTCCGACGTACCTATTCGTAGTGAGAAGACGTCAGTCCTGTTTTACAAGACTCCGTCGGTCAGCTACGAACCAATGTTTGCCTCTCTTGAGCTGCGATCAAACGTCTTGTGCGCCGGAATCTTCATGGGTATCGTCTTCTTCGGTAGGCTGTTTGGCGGCGGGCTCCTTGGCCTGATTCCCCTGGCTATATGCGTTACCTCCGGCGTCCATTTGTGGGTGAAAGAAGTGATTCGCCAAGGACGAGACTTGGAGTGGTCCAGCGAGCAGGAGCGTGGCGAAACTGCCACCATCAACTTGATTCCGGAGTCTGTCGAATGGATGAATACCGCGATCGGCGTCTTTTGGGGCATGATAAACCCTGAAATGTTTACCGGTGTTGCCGACACGTAAGTTTACCTCGCCATTTCAGTTTCTGCCACAAACAGTTGCTAACCTCTGAGCAGCATCGAAGATGTCATGGCCGCGTCTGTGCCTGGTATTATTGAGCATGTGCGAGTGGCCGATATTTCCCAGGGAAACAATCCTCTCCGTATTCTCAATATGCGAGCCCTCCCAGACTCTCATGTTCAGGACATCAAGGACGAAATTCACAAAGAAAATGAAAAAGTCATGGACGAAGATGAGCTTGCAGCCGTGTCACAAGCAGGCGCGTTTTACAACATGGAAGTCTCGGTCGCATATCACGCAAAACCCTCGGGCGCTGATATTGCCTCAAAGGCGCGGAATATGGGAATGCAGCTCGTCTTTTACCTGGGAATCAAAGGCCTCTTTGGTGTTCCTCTTCCGATATGGGTTGAGCTGATTGGCCTCGTCGCGACCGCGCGTGTCAGACTGCAGCTCAGTCCCGAGCCTCCCTTTCTAAAGACCATGACTATAACTTTGATGGGAGTTCCCAAGGTGCAAGCTGGCTGCACTCCAATGGTTGAAAGGGCGCCCAATATCCTAAACTTGCCTCTCATCTCTAATTTTGTTAATTGGGCCATTAGCGCCGCTGCCTCCATGTATGTCGCTCCCAAAAGCTTGACCTTGGACATCAGCAAAATGGTGCAGGGAGACGATATCAAAAAGGAAACCGAGGCCTTTGGAATTCTCTTCGTCAGAATCCACAAAGCTACTGGCCTTAGCAAACAGGATCAGCGTGGCAGCAAAGGCGGCGGCTCCGATCCGTATATTACCATTAGCTGGAGCAAGTTTGGGAAGCCCATGTTTTGTACCCGTGTCATCCAGGATAACTTGAACCCTGTCTTCGAAGAGAGTTGCGGACTGCTGGTTACCAGCGACCTCATTAAAGCTGACGAGCAGCTATCTGTGGAGCTCTGGGATAGTGATCGATCCTCTGCGGATGACGAGGTGGGCAAGCTTGAGCTAAGCATTCAAGAGCTCATCCAACACCCAGGAAAGATGTTTCAGCACGTCTCGACGCTGAGTGGTCTCAAAGCCGAGACCGTTATGCCCGGCGAACTCCACTGGGAGGTTGGGTTTTTCGGAAAGACGCAATTCCGCAAAGCCTTGCGAACCGATGGCCACAACCCCAATGTGGTTAAAGAACTAGGCGACAAGCCCGAGTTCCAAGAAGACTGGGGTACGATCCAGAATGCAGAAGAGGATGCTGTAGTCCATACTCCCCCTGACCCTCTTTGGCCATCCGGAATCCTCAGCATTGTGGTCCACCAGATTGTCGGCCTAGAGCTAGCTAATGTCAAGGGCTCCCAGGGGAACCGTAGGGGTAAAGAGTATGAGCCTGCCAGGCCGGAAGCTGGCGAAGTCAAGGAAGAGTCAAGCAAGAGACTACCGAGCTCATACTGCACTATCCTCGTCAATGATGATTTGGTTTACAAGACGCGAACCAAGGTGGTGTCGTCGCAGCCCATCTTCAATGCTGGCACCGAGAAGTTTGTTCGCGATTGGCGCTCTTGCATTGTGACCATTGCCGTTCGAGATTCTCGCAATAGAGAGCACGATCCAATCATCGGAGTTGTTCCTCTCAAGCTGTCAGATATCATGCAGACTAGTAGCGAGGTGACACGGTGGTACCCTCTCGATGGTGGCATCGGCTTCGGCCGTCTGCGTGTCTCTCTTCTGTTCCGCTCCGTGGAGCTCAGACTACCACCTCCGCAGCTGGGTTGGGAAATTGGAACCTTCGAATTTCTCTCCGACACAATCAAGGTCTCAAATTATACGCCGGCGAGCAAGGTTCGGATCCGACTGCGCACTGGAGGCTCTTCTGCCAACGTAAAGAGACACCAGTCCGTTCGTGAAAATGATGGCATGACATTCAACATTGGCGTTCCTGAAGGCGAGAAGAAACTTCGACTGCCAGTGCGCTATAGATACAAATCTCCAATTTTCATGGAATTCTATCCCTCTGGTAAGAGGGGAGCTGATGCGTTTGCTGCATTGTGGCTGTTGGAGCTGGTTGATAACCAGGAGAATGAATTTGACATTCCTCTGTTCAAATGCGACAATTCTCAACGACTATCACAGAACTACATTACGCAGGAGAATTTTACTACTATTCCCGATATGAATATTGAAGAAATTGGAAGGGTTCGGTTCAGAGGCCGCTTCAAAGCTGGCACCGACCCGGATCACATCAGATTTGTCACTGACAACGATTCTCGCGAGACAATCGAGACATGGGAGGCTTGTTATGCCGAGGGTGTGCGAGATCTAGAGGTTCAGCCCGAGATACCCCCATTGACTCAGAAATTGCATGACGAGTCTCTGACGCAGGGCCGAGATGTGCTCGCACAGGCCGACGAGAAAGAAAAAGGCCGCTGGTTGGCAAAGGATGGCACCGACTGGACCGGAGCGTTTGGCCAGGATCCACAAAACTCGATGGCTCAGCCCATGTCCAGCGCAGATACCAATGGCCATGAGCATTTTGAAGTAGACACGGATGCGGACGAGGACGAGGATGCCGAAGAGAGAGACCAAGCTATGGAAATGCGCAGGTCAGAAACAGACCCAACGTATGGCTCGGCACCGTCTGAGGGTAGTGACGAGCGGCATTCTTTGGATAGCCGTGCATCAGGCGCGTCGAGGAGGAGCACCGGTAGTACTGGGAGTAAGAATCCCATCAGGGCATACAAAAACTACAGGGAAAAGAGCCGGGACTTGAACCGCAAGCAACGCGGGCTGATGCAGTGGCTCCCCATGCGAAATGCGCGGTTTGCCAAGAACGAGGCCAAGTTTGCCGTCCGCAGAGTGAAGAGAATGGGATCTTTGGCTGGGCGAAAACCAGATGTTGAAACGGAGGTGTAATACCCCTACGCGTTGCTGTACTTGTCATTATTTTAATGTCTCCTATTTCCTTATCTCCTAAAGTTTTGTTTCCTTGGAATTCTTACGACCTTGGATGGATGGAACTGAGTATGAAAAACCTATGATTCATGACACAAGTTTACAACATTGGTGTTGGAGGTGTCGGATCACGCTCTTTTGATCAAATTGCGAATGGTTCTTTTTTGACACTCTCAATTTGTGAAAATACCTGTCGAGAGACTTTATACTTGTCTTTTATTATATTTATATTTTATGATATCACAAACGCTATAGTTATCTAAAATTTCTCCACGAATGGGCGGATATCCAGTTCTTGCGTGAAAGATGATCTGTGCTGTGTGTGTAAGTGCCAGTAGCTGTCGGCAATCTGCAAGTTCTTTGTTAGTCGTTTGTAAAATAGGGACAAATAGAGGGCTTGTCACAACACGTACAGCATCAGGGTTGATCTTGCCATCCTCTACACCATTGTTTACAACTCTGTCCTTGCCCCAGGGAGTGTCGATGCCACCGTCAATGACAGCCAGGGCGACATGCACGCCCTTGGGGCCAAATTCGCGGGCCAGAGACTGGGTGATGGCACGCTGGGCGAATTTGCCAGCGGCAAAAGTGCTGAAGAAGGCGGAGCCGCGGAGGGAAGCGGTTGCGCCGGTGACGAGGAGAGATGGAGGGTGAGGGGAAGAATCGACGGCTGCGAGGAGAAGAGGGAGAGACTTTTGGGCGAAGTAGAAGAGGCCGTTGCTGTAATTCTTTGTCAGCCGGTGTTTCAATGGGATTAAGCATTGGGGAAAAAAAAGGAGATTATGAAAAGACTCACGCAGCAGTATCGAGGCTAAGATCCAGATCGGAGAGCTTCAGCTCCAAAAACGGCTTTCGGGCCATACCGGCGCCGCCATTGTACACGGCGGCCGCGAGCTTGGAGCCGGGCAATTCCTTTTCGATCTGGGCGAATGCGGCGTCTACGGCGGCCGGGTCAGCTGCGTCGGCGGTGATGCCGATTGCGGTGCCGCCGGCGGCTTTAATGTCGGACACGATGGACTCGTAGGAGGAGGGCTTGCGGGAGAGGAGGACGACGGCGTAGGACTGGGCGAAGCGGCGGGCGATGGAGGCGCCTGTGCCGGAGCCGACGCCGGAGACGATGGCGAAGAAGGGGGGAGCCATGATGTTTCTTTTCTTTCTTTTTTGGGGAGAGGAGATTGAGTGAAGTTGTTTATTAGTGGAGTGGTTGAGAGTATGGGTTAATGAGAAAGAGGTTGATGTGGTATAAGTGAGAGGATTGAGTGAGATGAAAGAGTGTTTATATAGACATGGCGATGCCAGATCGACGAATTGCGCAAGACAGTCGCTCGAATTGTATCAACAACCGACATGAACGAAACAACAAGAAACACGCTGATAAATCCTCCTCCCCCATTTCCGCATACTGCGGTTTGTTCCGGACTGGGAGGGGACACATACGTGATTGTGCCATCTGGCTTATAAAGCAACTATGCCTTGATGCAGGCATGTGGAGATGGAGGGGTTTGACTGGATTGGGAAAGATGGTGATGACGGGGCGGGTTGGTGCGGGGTGGGCGTTTTTAACTCATCTGGAATCTTTTTTTCCTTGTTCTTTTTCCGCTTTTATCTGACTCTGCGGAGTACACTTTGGGAGTGTTGAGTTTTGGGTTTCGTTTTTGTTGTGAGGTGGTGTGATCACTAATTGATGTCCCGGCATATCATCCTGCAGCTCTCATCATCATTTAGCTCTGAGGTTGCAATAGGACTAGCTTGACCTCGAATGGCGTCATCAGATCTCGCAATGAAAACGCTCCGGTGGTGTACGAACGCATGAAAGAAAAGTAGCGATTACCTTTCATAACCAATTAGTCACCTAGCTAGTTTTCGGGTGGATTCCGCTTCATCCGGGCCGGAGCCGAGGTTTGGTGCGGCCCCACACGGCGCGGGAGCCTTTTTGGGGCCGGAGTAAGAATATGCGATGCAGTGTCACTATGTGTCACTATGTGCATGAGATGAGGTATCTGGCTATGCATATAATATGGAGAGACTCCCGTGGAGTACAGTTGGACTAGAAAATGCAGGGTTCATTGCAATGATTCGCAGCACCTCTTCAATTATTGGTGAGTAGTCTTATGTCTATGCTCTTATTGCAATAAAAGCTATGAAGGCCATCAATTTCATCAGTCACGGCCTCCATTCTGCGCTTCTGGACGTGAAAGGCTTTGGCCGTTAATCTATTCTAAGGCACATAAATGGGCTTGAAAGATATTGTTGCCCGCATGTCTCCTTGTCGCGCCGTGCCAAGTAGACCGCTGTGCTTTTATTCTCTTTAGCTACATTTCGCCTCGGAGACGCTTTCAACTTTTTAATTGGCACCTTTAACTTCATCATACCACAATTCGCGATTTGTTATCCTCAAAAGCTTTTGGAGCGAAATTCACGAGCCAAAGTAGCGTGAGCTTTGAAGAGTTCCAGATACGCCTCTGTGTACCCTGTCTCCGCTGCGGACTGAAGATACGTAATTGAGGTGTGCGCGCGCATTCCTGGATAGGCTTCAGTTGGCTCAAACTGAGAAGAGGCTGGAAGCGGGCAAAAGAGAAAAACACTTACCTTCGGCTGAGAGGGCCAAGCCTACTATCCTGGCAGATTCGATTTCTTCCTGAACAACATCGCAGACGTTCCAGAAAATGACCGCTCCAATCAAGAAATTTTCAACTGGGCTGCGGTCTCCGCCTTTGTCGGATAACAACCGAAATTGGTCTTTAGAAAGATGCTCTTCTGACTGTTGAAACGCCTGTTTCTTCTCGTTAAGCTTCCTTGCATGAACTACTACGGCAAGAGCCGCATTTATAGCCTCTTCAATCTTTCGGTGGTCTAAATTGTCGGCATCATCGTTATCGGCTTTCTTCGCTTCGGCTTTACACGTATTATTGAACTGAATGGGCTTGTATTCCTCGACTGTGGCCTCGCCCTTCGGTTTCGAAGCCTGTTCAGCCTCTGCAGCACCTCTTAGGGATAGCTGAACGCGTAGGTCAAGTAGGATATCAGCAGCAGAAGCTGCAGTTGGTCTGAGCAATGGATTTCTGCTCCAGCATTGCTCTATCAAGTCCCGAGCGCTTCCAAGGTTAGAGAGGCCGCTTGCGTTCACGTCTCCCGGGAGGTTAGCTCTCGCGCAATTTGGCGTAATTCTCATCTTCTGCCCCGACCTCGGTCGAAATGTTGTATGGAACCAGACCTGTAAGGCACTGCCAAATAATGACGCCGAGACTGTATCTGGTTAGAGAGGAGAGATGCCAAAAAACATTGAGTGCTCACCTCCAAATGTCCGTATATTTAGAATGTTCTCGAAGTCTATCGTACTCCGGAGCTTCGTACCGGACATCGTACTTCAAACCAGTGGTCTGTTCAAGAATCTGATTGATGTCAACAAAGGTTCACAACGTATCTTTAGGGGCTACCAGTAGCTTTGAGTACTTACGTGCCTTGCATTTTGCAACTTCGTGAGGAACGGAGCTAACCTCCCAGATGAGAGTTCTTGGAGAACGATCGTATGATCGGAAACGGATTTCAGTAGCAGCTGAGCATTGTGGTACCAAGCCATCGTCTTTGCGATATCATATGCCAATGATACGCGAGCTAATGGGGTATCTGGTAAACCATTATCTCTGCATGCTGACGCGAGTGTCTTGCCGTCCTCTAGATCTTGCATCACAACATAGTAGTTCTCGCCGAGTTTGACGGTTCCAAACAGCCGTTGCACGTATGCTCCTGCTTGAATGTTCTTATATATCTTCAAAAATTCTGGCATCGACCTGGTCAACTCAATTTTGTAGCAGACAGTTTGACTAGCGCTGTTGACAGTGCCGCGTTTTAAGAGGCCATCATGGGACTCAAATGAGAAGGTAAAGTCCTTTGCTTGAAATTCTGTATGCAATTCAACAATTGGAGCAGAAGATAGGCAATCTACCTTGCCTCCTTCAATTAATTTTGCGGACGCTTGGAGGTAAAGTAGAATCTCCTTCTGCTCTCCCTGAGTCTTCAATACGCTCCCCAGTTGTTTGCTGATGAGATCCTCTCGTGACAATATTTCAGCCTGCTTCTTTTCAGTTTAGGTCTTTTATGGAGTAACCAAATTGCGTACCACTGATTCGACTATAAATAGCGATTTGACAGACGAAATCTCGCTTGTGAGCGACTGGTACTCGTGTGTCCAATATAGCTTCAGAGATCTCTCAAAGAATCTCGACTGCTTGATTGCAGACACGAAGGCGTCAATTCTATTCAGACATGCCGTGAATTGGCCTAATGTCTTGAAAGAGGTGATTGCGTCACTATTCTTGCCCAGAAGATACACCAAGATGCAGGCTTGGTGACCTAAGGCCTCGCATTTTTTTTTTTAATCCTCGAACTTCGTTGATCTTTTTGACCAGTGCAATTAGTAGAGTCGCACTCTCCGTCAAACAACCTTGGACGGCCAATGCGAGATCAGGCCCCATCCTTGAATAATAGACGGTTGCTCGTCCCAGGAGGTTTACTTTACGGTTAAGTTGTAATATCTGCGAATGGAGTGCGGAATCTCGCTGTAGGACATCCACTTAAAAGCTTGAGGTGAGGTATCAAAACGTTCTCGAGCCTCACCTGTGACATAGTGGTGCGTCCAACGCGTACAGAGGACGAAACACGACGAAGCTACCCCGCAGATCAGGGATAAGGTGAAAACGAGGCTAAGAATGCCGACGATTAATAGGCTGACGGCGTTCGATTTCGCGTTTCTTGGTATTGCTGCCTAATGTTGCATAATCACGCGTTTCTCTGAGGCTGGCCTCTCGTATAATGCGTATAATTCACACGACCTTTCAGCCCCTTGCGTCGATGCTACTACAACTCTTCATATCCACTTCTTGTATTTAATCCCAGTAGCAGATGTCAGTCGCCCATTTTCCCACTACTACATTAATCTTGTTATTGATTCAACCCGAATTCATTCTCCCCATGAACGTATACTCCTCTACCGACATACTCATTCACTGTCACCTTTTGGGAGCAGCAGCATGTCTATAGATATTAAAGTCAGCTTACCTGACTATGAAAAGAAACCTCTTCGCAACTTTTTCCAATCCTTTCTATCTCAAGACTTTATCAACGGTCTTCCAGATTTGTCGTTGGAATCGCAAGTCAGACTACTACATTCATGGTCTTGGACGCGAAAATTGGCAGAAGACGCTTGCACAGTATGCTTTTCCGAAGACTGGATCGCAAATCATGGCAAGTCCGCAGTTATGGCCTGGCCTGTGATACAGAGATTCTGGGAACGCGATGTGAGGTGCTTCTACAGTAACCACTCCAGATTAGCTTTGCTGCTGCGTGATAATCTCCAGCTTGAGTCTCAGTTCAAGAATACAGATGATGGCTAGCTTCTCACGCTCCGACTATACCTTTCGCCCGAGGACAGGTGGTACTGGAAGATCGTAGCAATACTTCAACTCATAGTTGACGGTGATGATAAGGCGAGCCGGAAGATTCTGACCCAACTGCGTCAGTCCGGGGCCCTCCGCGAAGATACCCATGAGAGTGCTAAACAAGAAGGGGACGATCCAAGTCTCCAGTGGCCTAATGATACAATAATCAGCAGCGAGTCTTCGCAATTTGAACAGTCGGCAGCTGTCGAAATAACATCAATACTGCAAAGCTGGGAAAGCGTCACAAATTTTGAGATATGGAGTTTGGTGCAAATGTGCTGCACAATCCTCCGCAGTTCAGAAGATACAAGCCGTAAACTCCATGCTGCCCTGTCAGATTGCAAATTTTTGGAGTTGCATGCGGATTCAGGTAGTGGCTTTATTAATAAGAAATGGACGAACCATTCCAAAGTAAGTCTAAGACCGGTGATATCAACCTGGACATTAAAGAGTAATTCCTGTCTTCAAATACCTTCAGGGGTTCACTTTTCGGCATCCATCACGCTTTCTGAAATATGTACCTTGGACCAGCCTAAGCCTCGATATACGAGATCCCGGGAGTCAAATGCTTGTCTGGCATCCTGAGCATCGTGTTAAATTTGACCACCACTTACATACAGAAGAGGAGGTCTACCGATTTTGTGTGAACAATGAGCTGTATTTTCAGGAATACCTGCACGAAGATGGTATAATCTTCCAGCAAACACCTCTAAAAACCTCTGCCATATGTGGAGAATTACACAATTACTGGATGAAATGGGTTCGTGTGGGAAACTCCTCATTCGTTCGCCTCTACTGATTCGCACTTAGAATGACTGTGCCATTACCCAGCATGCAGATTCTAGACAGTGGCTTCTGTTAGAGACTATTCCAGGAATACAATTTCGTAAAATTTATGAGGAGAGGGATCATATTGCTGCGCAAAGATATTTCCAGCGATTTGTCGATGATTATCGTTTTGGGAGAGTCAGTGAAGTGGCAGAGGTCCTTGGTTTGACAGGTGAGAGCCCACAGTACGATGGATTTCTTGAGACCATACCCTTCAGCGAGATACACTCAATCAACTTTGCCCCATTGGCCGGTGCCAACGGTCTCGTCTACCGGGCGAAGTGGACGTGCCCCCAAAAGATTGATATGCCGGCTTCCGAAATTCGAGAAGTTGCCTTGAAGACAACTAGGTTGACAGCCTTGGCTGATGAGCGGAAGTTTCTGAGCGAGGTAAGTGTTCCCGAATACGAATGTATCGGTTGGGCTAGCCATGGTGACCGCATCGACAGCTGGATGCTTCTCTGCGAGCATTAGCAGCGAGGTCAGTACGCTGCATTCGATTTTATGGAATCACTAAAGTACCAAGAAATTGCGAACCGTTCCCACCGGACACACTGTTCATGGTATTTGAATGGGCCGAACTAGGCTCCGTATTGCAATACCTTAATAGCCGTCTGACAGGAGCGAGGAAGGACTGGGAGATTTTATTTGACTGCATAGAAGATATCGCTGTAGGTCTTGATGAGCTGCATAGGAACAATATCATTCACCGGTGGGTTCTTTTTACTTCCAAGGTTGGTTTCACGCCTGAGACATGAGACTGATTCCTACCAGAGACATCCACCCAAATAATGTCTTAATCGCAACACGACCTACACCCCGTGACGCATCGACCTCAATTTCAGTCGAAATACTGCTCGTGGATCTTGGAGAAGGCCTTGCAGCTGACAAGGAGCAATCTCTGGGTCGAAAATACTACGGAAACGTGGAATATTGGGCGCCAGAAGTACGTAAGCATCACCAATATAGCTTCGCTTCAGACATTTATTCTGCTGGACGCCTGATGGCGGAAATGGTTCAGGTCAGATGGCGAATTGTGCTTCAAAAGACGGGAGGAATGGACCAGTCTGTGCCCAGAGAGATTGCGCAGATCATCCGTATGTGTATGGCTAAGGCGCCCGAAGCTCGACCGAATGCGGAAGACTTAGTCTATCATATACAAGACGTTCATATGGAATTAATGCGTGAGACATCGGACGGTGATTATGATATAGTCTTTGACAATATGGTCGATGGAAGCCACGAGCTCAATGCTAACGTCGAAAGTGAGAGTGGCGAAGTGTTGGATCTGGATGAAGATGGAATACCCTTTTAAGGCAAAAATGGTTCAGCTCTATGTAGAAAACTTACGTGTGATAGCTGTCTCTTTTGTCAGTTGCTGGTACTGGCCAACGGGCTCCAACTACAGCTTGAAGTGTGAATATTCTGTTATTGCTGCCCAACTTGGCTGGCGTATACCGCTTCTGGTTGGTAGATCAATCTTGGTCGGCTTGCAGCAGCTTCTCAAAGCTATATGTCCGTCCTCCGCCAGAGAGTACAAGAGTATCTAAGGTCTATTGTCATTAATCTACATTGATTTTCTTGGCCAACAGCTTTACAACTGTCTCACGCCCGTTTTTGGTCGCTAAAGATAGCGGCGTCCGACCCCTTCTATCCTTAGACTCGGCATTCGCACCTTTTTCAAGCAGGAGCCCTACTACTATTCCATGTCCATTCTCTGCCGCCAAGGACAGCGGTGTCTGATCCCCGTTATCTTTGGAATCTACCTCAGCGCCTTGTTCAAGTAGCAGCTTTACTATTGTCTCATGCCCATTCTTTGCCGCCCATGATAGCGATGTCCGGCCGGTTCCTTGGACGTATACTTTCGGGATACAACGAGTTGAGTTATGGCTTCCGAGGGAGAAAAAGTTGCCCGAAGAATGATATTCTCCTGGAAAGTCATAGCCCTCTAAAGAATGATAGCTCCTCGAAGAATAACTGTTCCATGGAGAGTACCGGCTCCGTGGAGAGTAACTCGTTGCCCTGGCTCTTTCTAGATCAAGTAGTCCACCACCCTCCTCCTTGGCGTTTATGTTGACCTCGTTCCTCATAAGGAGCAGCTTCACCACAGCCTCATGTCCGTTTTGCGCAGCCCGCATCAGTGGTGTCCACCCACAATTGTCCTTGGAGTCTGGATTGATGCTGTCCACCGCTAGCAGCAACTTCACCACTGTCTCATGCCCACTTGATGCGGCTTTCGACAATGCTGTATGTCCATCTATATCACAGCAGTTCGCCTGAATTTCTTTCCGATCGAGCAGTAGCTTCACAACTCCCTCGTGGCCCTTGTTCGCAGCAATCCACAACGGTGTCCAACTGTATTCGTTTCTCGAGTTTACGTCGACATTCTTTGAAAGTAGCAGCTTCACCACTGCCTCATGCCCATTCTCTGCTGCCAAAGACAGTGGCGTCCGACCCTGCTTGTCTTTAAACTGTACCTTGGCGCCTTTCTCAAGCAGCAATTGTACTACTGCTTCGTGCCCGTTTATTATAGCCCATAATAACGGCGTGTTACCCCGGTCATCCTCAGACTCTAGCTCAGCACCATTCTCGTGTAGCAGCTCTACCACTCTCGAGTGGCCATTCTTTGCCGCCAAGGACAATGCCGTCTGACTGTCAGTGTTCTTGGCATCAATTTCTACTGCATTTTGAAAGAGTGCCATAGCCGCATCCTCGATCCCAAAGTATGCCACTAGGTGAAGAGCTGTCATACGCCTTGGTGCTCGTTGGCTGTAATTTGAACTTTGTGCGGGCATCATCAGCGCTTGGCTCGCTGCTTCGACCTTTGCCTGCTGCTCGAGGAATTCCATGACTTCCTGGCATAATGTCAAAGTCTTGCGAGCATGGTGGCCCCAGTTGCGTGCCGCGTAGTTATAAAGATGATTCGATCGCAACCGCTCATTGAAGCTGTCGTCCGTTGGACAAAATCCACTTTCGAAGACGCGGAATGATAAGTAGGTAACGCATGTTGTCGTGATGCCGACATTTGCGTTCGGGAACCAATGGCTTTGAGTCCGCTCAAAGTATTCCTGTGTTGTATAATGGACCAAGCGGATGATATTACTCTCCTCATCAACAGTGACTAATCCCGCACACACAGAGACCAAATCTTCGATTTCTGGGAGATTATCTTCGTCCAAGTCAGACTTGCCTACTTCTACAGCAAGTGCATGCTGAAGTTCTAATGTAGTCAGTCGTCTCCTTGCACAGGTGATCCAAGATAGGACCTGTATTGCAAGCTCTCTCGAGCCCGTCTGCCCCTTGATCCGGTCCATCGCTGCGTCGTACGTCTCAGTATATGCTTCAGACCCAGTGGGCAGGGCTTCTAAAGCTGTCCGGATAGCTTTTGGCGTCCATTTACTTCTCAGTGAATCAAGATGAAGCTTTGCGAGCAGGAACCTACAAATAATTAGCTTTTTCGCGCAGGATGAGGATAGCAACATACATTCCGTCAATAGCTTTGACGATTTTGATCTTAATTTCTTCTTGTAGATCTAGCCTCTTTAAGACACACCCCGGTAGTTCTGACATTTGACTATCAAGATAATTCTGTACATCTTCATCGCTTGCAAGGATTTCAAGAGAAGGATATCGTTTGAACACCTTTTCAATGTCCGGGATTCTTCGTGAAGTTGCAAAGAAATTTGTTTTTGTTTTTGCCTGCAGGTTAAATATCTCCAAAAGTAGTGTCGACCGGCACTTGTTTGATGCTTGGCACTCATCAAGAGCATCAACGATAATAAAGACTCTCGAAAATGTAGCCGCCACAGACTGTAGAGCCTTGGAGATTTCGTCTATTGATGGCCGCGTTTTCTTAGCTTTGTGTTGGTCATAGAGATCTTTTACGCCGCCTGGCAGAGAAGACTGGCCTTGGGCTAGTTGTTTAAGCAGACTTGCAAGTAGGTCGTAGGCCGTTTGGTCGCCTTTCTGTTGGAAGTTACAGTAGATGTAAGCAACCCCAATTGAGGTATCATCAGGGTATCTCTTGCAAAGGTCGTCTACCACAATTGATGTAAGAATGGTTTTCCCAGCTCCTGGAATCCCTGGGCAGAATAACGTCTGCTTGTCGGTCTTTAACCAGATGGAGTACTCAGTAGAGTCTAGAAGCCATTGACCAGTTCCCGGTTGCCGCCTCTGTAGATTGTCACTCTGCTGAGGGCCATAGTCAATATGTGTAAGCCAGTTAAGAATTTCGGCGTCTTCTTTTCTATCCAGTTTAGACTCGACTTTTTCAACATAATTGTGAACTACAAACTTGTTAACAATATGCTACTAACTCGGCAAAGGGGCCCTGGATAATGACCAACCTCGAGAAAGAAGCTCTATAACCTTCTCCTCAGCTTCAATCCTATTTGGAGGGATCCGATTTAAAAGGTCTTTAGCATATGCAGCCGCTGTCATTGCTGCGTAGCCTTGCCACTCCTTGTTCTTGTGCATATCTGAGTAATCGCATATGCCCCGGATAACTAGGCACGGGAAATGGTTCATCAACCCTGCCGCCTCCGTTTCAAAACACAGGACGTCCATTTCCGCCGCAATTCGATCTCGAACTAGTGCGTCTTCCATTAACTGGTTTGCAGAAGCAATCAGGCCGTAGTGAATTGCTGGATTGTCCTCCTCGTCTCCCCGCTCAAATTGGAATACCACGTTGAATAAACCGTGAGCACACTCTGTGGTACAGACAGAATCGTGGGTGACTTCAGATTTGAGAATTCTATCTGTCCTTGGGTCGGGGCGTTTATACTTCTTGACTAATCTCGGTTTCATCTTGAGCACGTCATTAATGGCCTTATCAAGTTGGTGGCCATCGATCTCATATTGCGCCTGAAGTCCACTAACTGCTGTTAACAGCACCGTTGGAGGCTGGCTTAAGAACCCTGTTGTGCAAAAGCTCTGGTTCTGTATTGTCTTGCCAAAGTCATATTGGAAAACGCCACCCTTCCCATCTCGAGGTACACTGACCACAATGTCGCCGAGACGAATATCGTGCTTTTGGCTTGGTACACCGCCACCGATTCCAACCATCAGGCCGATCCTAACGTTTGGGAAGCTGTGTAGCATATCTCTAGCTACAACTGCAGCAGAAGCTATACCATATTCTCCACCAGGCAAAACGGCTATGACAACATTGTGTTTTCCAATCTTGCCTAGGGTGTAATCGTTATTATCGTTAGGAGACACATATTCAGGCCCTTCGTGCTTTTCGTCAAGAAAAGCTTGCGCGGCAACGTACTCCGTGCTTATGGCACAGATCCAGCCAACTGTGTAGTCGTTAGGGTTTGACATGACTGCCAGCTAGGTCATTAGAGTGGTGGAAGGCGTGAGGATCTCGATTCAGCTCACGCATCAATCAAGATTTTTATCAAGGATCTGGTGGCCAAGACTTATCAAGGTATATCAAGTGCTCCGTGCCTCTCATATACGAAGAAAGAGTGAGGTTGTAGTAAAATAAAAATGCTGAACGTAATATTTGAGAGAGAAAGGAACATGAGGCAGACTTTCCTGCAGCTTTCAGCCCGTTAGGCTGAAATGTGACGGATTTTGGGCACATTGCAGCCTAGTTGCAGCCAATCGGTGACATGAGCTGTCATACTCGCTTGGCTATCAAACGCGGCTCGAATAGGTATTTTAGACATCAGCAAATGAAACGAATCCAGTAGAGTATTTACGAGGACCACCCCTAGATTTAAGATTACGAAGAAAAAAGCTGATGTGAGGCTCAATTACACACGCAACGATAATAGTATAAGAAAGCAAAATATTGCTTGGAACTATTGACTATTCTTAACTGTATATCTAGGGTTTGGCATTTTTTACTACATTGGAAATAACGTCTATTTTGCTAGGTGCTCCTTGTAACCGGTTGGGTATGGTATAGCAAGGATGCTCATTGGCTGAGTAACCAATCTGGAGATGAGTGGTTACCAGCATTATGTCATTGCGCGAATTCTACCATAAGACCTTCAAGGAAGAGTATCAGGGTAACTTCACTCATTAAGTAGATTAAACTAACGCAAAGGAGGAAACCCTTTGCACTACTTCGCAAGTCTTCATGAGAATGTAGCAGGCGAACAGTCGTGATACACGTAGCAGAGTCCCCATATTGTCTTGCGCACGTATTCCAAAGCCAACGGGTATTTAACATAGATAGGGAAGTTTGCTTCAAGTTTGAATACGCTATAGAGAAGATCTTGAGGGAGCAGCTTGATGAAGTGTCTTATAAGGAATTGCTAGGGATGATGGTCACTACGGACAAGCATCGCGAAGCAATAGACATGCAAGTGAATGTGGCCGAACACTATCGCAAGACTTGTTTTTAGCATTCTTACCAGTAAATCGCAAATTGTAGAAGCCCGCGAATACTTTTCACCACTTACGTCCGCATAGGAAGGCATAATCCCTTCAACTCAAGGTCGTCAAGGTCCTTCCGGATGCAATCAGAAAGTAGCATTCTTACCCAATATAGCAAAATGCCCCTAATGGTCAACGTTGAGGATGCACATGATGAAGACGGGAAAACCTATAGAGGTTGCCTTATCTTTATGACATCTAACATCTCGTTCTTCAAGAAGGTGGATCTCAGTAGATCTTCGTGTGTTGCGCCAATCAATGGCCAAGCCAACGACAGCTTATGAATACAAGCTCTTGTGTATGCTTTTTGTGATTTTCGTCTTTCGTTACCATTAATCTTTCCTACATACTTGTTCTTAGAGGTTTCAAGATTACATGATTCTATGGTTTATGGCAGGTGAGGCTATACGTGTCATTTTGGATCCTTCCTAGATCCTTTGTGGCGACTCAAGTTAGCACGACTGTATATATTCGGATAGGTGCACTTTCTCAATATGGCTTAGATATAAGTACATGATCGGATTCTCCGATTGCATAGATTGGCCTGGCTAAGTACATGTAGGTTGGATCGATCGGACCGGCTGGGTTGATCGGGCCGGTCAGCTACGACGCTGAATGGCCCAGCTTAGCCAGCTATCTGTCATAGCTAAAGGAGCATTCGGTGGACAAAACGTCTATATATTCTCATTCGATTGTATTGTTATAGTTACAGTTGACTGTGTTTGTTTCATCAATAGGCTTGATGGGATCCGTTGCGCTTGGAGGGTTTTGGGTCGCAGCGTGATGGTTGCTACCATAATAATATGCGACAGGCTTCATGAAAGATGGTGTTCAGTGTAAAAGACTTTGGCTAATATTTATTTCAATATAAGAAACTCTTTACTTGGCAACTGCATATAGAATCTAGCCAATCAGCCTAAATCATCTTATATAATAAGCCTAGCAAAAATGCTTGACCCCTTGTCGTTTCTTTTTTCCTTTTGCCTTTCCTTTTACCCGTCACTCGACTATCGCCAATATGAGTTTTGCCGAAATTGCTAAAGGTAACATAGGTTACAATACAGGTAAGCAAAAGGTCTGAGTCAATCTAAATGGCCCTTGACAATAGATGGAAGAATTGTAGGCCCCTCTTTAATTTCTTTATCTTCGTAGTGCTAGCTTGCAGAACTATACTACAGTAGCATTCAGATGCCATTTCGATCCAAGTCTTCTGTATAGCCTTTTTATCAAACTAGCTGTTACAGTTTAATGAACCAAGCATATTATTTGTATATAACCTCTATACAACGGTAGCATTAGGACTACAGAAAACGGCAAAACTGCCAAGATACCTTCGACCCAACCTATAGGGTCTTGGGGGTTATTACCAATTCTCATAGCCTAACAGCATGAAGACACTAGGAACTAGCAGCTTTGGATTAGAACAGATGCAACGTGGTTTGTCGTTCAGGATCGCCGGTGCTGTGTAGAAAACATCTTAAAAGGGCCGCAGTTCCGTATCATTGTCGTGGAATCATTCCTATCAGGTCTTGCCAAAATCTCTCTTCTTGGCCCATAGTTTCAAAATGGCTCTCTCTGGTCCCTTCCCGCTAGCTACGGCTGCCCTTATTGCATTTATTGCCCAAATTGTTGCCGGTCAGCAACCTGGAACCAGCACTCCCGAGGTCCATCCCAAGTTAACGACCTACAAGTGCACAAAATCTGGAGGATGTGTGGCTCAGGACACCTCTGTCGTCCTTGACTGGAACTACCGCTGGATGCACGACAAGAACTTCAACTCGTGCACCGTCAATGGCGGAGTAAATACCACTCTTTGCCCTGATGAAGCGACTTGTGGTGCCAACTGCTTCATCGAGGGCGTCGACTACGCTGCCTCTGGTGTCACGGTCTCGGGTAGCTCTCTCACCATGAACCAGTACATGCCCAGCAGTTCTGGCGGATATAGCAGCGTATCTCCACGACTCTATCTTTTGGGATCTGATGGAGACTATGAGCTGCTTCAGTTGAACGGCCAAGAGCTGAGCTTCGATGTCGACCTCTCAACTCTGCCCTGTGGAGAGAACGGCGCCCTTTACCTCTCCGAAATGGCCGCAAATGGTGGTGCCAACCAGTACAACACAGCTGGCGCCAACTATGGAAGCGGTTATTGCGATGCCCAGTGCCCCGTCCAGACCTGGAAGAATGGTACCCTCAACACTAACCATTCAGGCTACTGCTGCAACGAGATGGATATCCTTGAAGCCAACTCAAGAGCCAATGCATTCACTCCTCACTCTTGCACGGCCACTGCTTGCGATGCCAGCGGTTGCGGCTTCAACCCCTACGCAAACGGATTCCAACGGTGAGTTTATTCTTTCCTAATGACGTTGGCAAACCCGAGTAAAGCTGACATCGATACTTTGCCTAGCTACTGGGGCCCTGGGTTCACACTTGATACCTCCAAGGTCTTCACCATCATTACACAGTTCAACACAGACAATGGTTTGCCTTCCGGTAACCTTGTGAGCATTACACGCAAGTATAGACAGAATGGCGTTGACGTCCCGAGTGCTCAATCTGGAGGTGACACTATTTCATCTTGCCCGTCTGCTTCAGCCTACGGTGGTCTCACAACCATGGGCAAGGCTCTGGCAAACGGCATGGTATTGGTATTCAGCATCTGGAACGATAACGGCGGAAACATGAACTGGCTGGATAGCGGCAATGCCGGTCCCTGCAGCAGCACAGAGGGCAACCCGTCCACCATTGTTGCCAACAACCCGGGCACTCATGTCATCTTCTCCAACATCCGATGGGGAGATATTGGTTCAACCACTGGCTCAACCGGCGGTAACCCTCCTCCCAGCACATCTAGAACCTCCACCACGCCTCCTCCCAGCACGACCCTGAGAACTTCCACTTCAAGCAGGACGACTACCTCGAGTGCTGCAGGCTGCACTCAAACCCACTGGGGCCAGTGTGGCGGTAACGGATATACCGGCTGCAAGATTTGCACAGCAGGCACAACTTGCCAGTATAGCAACGATTGTTAGTACTTCCATTACCAGTCCGCTGCAAAGCATGTTTCAAATTCTAACCGCAGGAATATAGACTACTCGCAATGCCTATAGAGCCGATTTGGTCGTATAGAAGGCTGTCTTCAGTTACCAGTGTGCGCTCCGATACAGTGAACGTCTGTGTTAGCGTGGTTATGTAAATAATCTTGAGAGGATTTTTCCTCGAACATAAAATTAGACACTTGAATGTCAAAAAACAAAAGACTTTGAACTACCTACAAGAAAGAAGAGCACTGCAGTATCCCGATGTCTCGCTTCATAAGTCACATATGCTCGTATAGCAAAACTAATCTTATTGGACCAATTACGAGCTAGAGAAACGGATGTATGCTATCATTGAATAGAAGTTTTGTGTTAATTATAGCCACCGCTGGGACTTATATATATACGTCAATGTATAGAAGCTGGCGGCCGACGGTAATATGTACTACAACTTCCATCTCTATAACCAACCTCTACACTAAAAGCTCGGTTCTAACGGGCCGCGATTTAACACTAACACACCATGTATATAGTAATACTCAGCTAGTAACCGAAAGGTAAAAGGCGCTATATATGGGACTTTAACATGCCGTGTTATACAAAGTGCAGGCGCATTAAACTATGTATACTATTGATGTTTATTGAAGATACGAACGGTATCACTGGAGGTAAGCGTACAAACTATCTTATATAATAGACACTTACTAATTGGATATCTAGAATTTAATAGCAGGGTGTTCCAACCCCGTGCCAGTATTATTGAGCATTTAACTTCTGCAACTTTTCAGAAGGCTGCTGCTACTGCTGATGCTCTCTTTGATGACTAGATATTAATTGGAATAATTATTGCGAGTATAGATTGTATATTGTCTGTTAACCTCTCTAAGTACATGAGAAATCCCGTATTCGTTTTGTTCTAAATTATCCCTCCTAATTGCCATCTTTGGCTAGAATGATCCTTGCCGGAAGCATCATGTCGTTAGTTACCGCCAAGGTACTGTTAATACCCTACCAACCAATCGCCAGATAGCTCGCCGCACTCTTTTCAACAGCCGTTCAGAACCCAAGGATGATGTTAGGAGTATAAAGATCTACCCCTTAAGCAGAGTCAAGACCTATGGAAGTCACATGGTTAGAACATCCACGAAAAACGTCAAAAGTCGCTAAACATACCAAGTGCCTTGGCAATGGCAGCGCCAACACCCAGGGCAGAGTTGGGGTTCTGGCCAGTGATGATGCGACCATCAACGACAACGTGCTCCTTCCAAAGGTCGTCTGCCTTGACATATTTGCCACCCACGCGCTTGATCTCGTCTTCCAACAGAGCAGGCATGAACTCAGTCAGCTTGATGGCATCTTCTTCCGCGTTACTGAAGCCAGTAGCGGTGCGGCCACTAAGGAGCGGCTTTCCGTCGACAACGGCATTCACGAAAACGATGGGGCCATGGCAGACAGCCGCAACAACTTTGCCAGCATTGTAGAAGTCCTCAATCAGCTTGATGGACTCCTTGTCGTTAACAAGGTCGAACATAGGGCCGTGGCCACCAGGGTAGAAGATGGCATCAAACTCAGATGCCTTTCCCTGAAGATCCTTGAGGGCTACGGTTTTCTCCCAAAGATGCTTCTTGGTTTCGTAGAACTTGACTGAATCATCGTCCTTGAAGTTCTTCACTGACACTTCGTCAATGGGAGCCAGGCCACCGGCAGGGGAAGCCACGACGATTTCAGCCCTGGGGTTTGCCTCGTCGGGACCAATCAAGTGGAAGTAGGGCCGGGCAAACTCAGGCTGAGATTTTCTGTTGTAAGTGACTATTTCCAAATTTCAATGGATGAGGTCTGGGAACTAACCAAGTACCACCCAGTGGGTGCGCCATTGTTCATCTTAGCAGCGCTAGTGAGAACGAAGAGAATTCTGGGAGACATGTTGAAAGATTTTTAGGACTGATTTTTAGAAGTGATTTCTAGGAGTGATTTAATGCTTTTGGTTTACTGGGAGATTGATGAGAATGATGGAGGATGGGTATTTTAATTGATGCGTGGTTTCCGCTGGTCTTTATACTTGACAAGCAGCAATAGGGAGAGCCTTTCCACAAGATTAACATGGGTGCATTGACATCACGACACCAGCTGTTTGAAGCCATCACAATTCTTCAACAACGATTTGCTCAATAAGCACAACCTGCTAAATGGAATCTTTCAAAACATGATTCCATACATCTCAGGTTGTATCGTTGTTGTTTTTGTCTGCTTTCTAAGCCTATGGTGGGCCAGAATTCAAAGGACGGAACTTGCCGCACCGGGTGACGGGACTTTGTATGCGGAACTCCGTCCTAAACATTCCGACCTGGTGTGGGAAGCGGAAAATCCGTCCGCGATCTACTGCTGCTACTTTTAACTCTCCATTAATAATTTTTGCCAATTATCGAGTATTAGTCTCAAATGACTTAGTTTCTGCTTTTGTTGTTGATGCCATGTTACTTGGTGGGGATAATGTCAGGTATTCGCGCTTAAGGGAGTGGTGAACTGGCTTTTGCCGTTGTTGTTGTTGAGTGCGATTTGCAAGAATATTGACGCTTGCGCCATACGTCTATGCGTAATTCCAATTCCAATTAAAGAAGGATGGCTCGTACATCACACACTTGGTGGATTGCCAATGCGATGCATCATGAGCCTACGCATCCACATCCATAAGTGGCCTAAGTAAACCACTCATATGGAATTTGACTTAATAAATTGACCCCCATAGTCTAGACAACCAGTGGTTAACAAACTGTCAAGACTGAATACAAGCTACACCTTCTTTTCTACTCCTGTACACTCGTAAGTATAACTGCTGATCATACGGTCTACATAGGGGCTCGGGCATGTCCAAGGTAACCACCGGTCAAGGTCTGGGAACATTATTGGATCAGTTTCAAGATAAACATCACAAGTCTTTTTAAAATTTGAACTTGGAGATAACTCACGGAATTTGCTAACGACGTAGACCTTTGACTGTATATGCATAAGATTTCAGGACCCAAATTTGAGCAGTCAGCCTCATCAAGTGCAGGACAACGATAAATAGATCTACCATCACATTACACCATCATTATCCACAATTTGGACCACATTCGCGGCAGGCATGACCAAATGAGAAAGGACAGCCAATATGGTGGATTGATCCCTAGAATATTCGCGTTATCGAGAAAGAGGGAGAGACTACAGGTAGACGGTGATCTGTATTGTGAGCAGCTCTCTCCAATTTTAGGAAATTTGGAGCTCCATGGAGCGCATATACATAATAAACTATATGGCCAGCGCTTTTCAGATTCGAATAACCCTCGACACCGAATGGAGTGTAACCGAGCAAACAATCGATTTACGAATTCACGACCGTTACTATTTCGATGTCAGAAAACCGTTGTGTCAGAAAACAGATCGAATATCAAGGTACGATCGAGGATTATGATGGTTACCACTCTTCAGGCTGGACAACGTCAACTTATCGACGAAAAGGTCACCCTACCAGCAATCCGAACGGACTCGACGAGGATGAAAGAAGGAGAAGAAGAAGAAGAAGCCACGTATACCTATTGCTCAGCCACCACCCGGCAATTTGAGGACCCTGGACGCAAACACGTCTCCCAAATTGGGCGCGAATCGGACTCCGTAACGTGTCGTCTTCAGAATTTGGCCAAGGAAAGGTTTCCGTGTACAGCATCCCATGGCGTATACGATAGTGACGTGATGTTCTTTGTTTAAAGAGAGCCTATTTGGAGTTGCGGATACAATTTCTTGCCACCTGACATCTATAATCAATCTCAATACAATAATTTTCTTTGTTTCGTTGCGTGAGGCTAGGTCATCTGACTTATCAGACAAAACACTGCCCCTAGGAGTCCTTTGTCTGCTATGTCTCCTAGGAGATGCCAGAGCCAATGAACATGCTTTTCTAACCTCGCGTTGATAACGTGACTTATATAGGCTTGGGTTTCTTTCATCCTTTGGGTCGTATTCTTTCAAGAGTGGCAAATCTCTTTGTGAGGCTCTTTAGCTAAAACGTCAAGTTTTACACGCAAATTGATACTAAGCGCCCTGCTGGCACTATATCAAGACGCCATCTCTCTCTCCCTTCTCCACGATGACAATTCGTCCTCTTCTTTCCACTCTATTTATTCACAACATCAATAGCAACCCTAAAGCAACGATTGAGACGCGCAAACATGAACAGGGCGCAGAAAAAGTGGCGTACACCGCTTGTATCTGCTGTATCAGCAGGAAACAGGGAGCTTGTGCAGCATCTTCTCAACGAGGGTGCTGACGTTAATCACTACAGCGGCACAAAAGACACAGACGACACAGATGACACAGACGACACAGACGACACAAATTCCGTAGCTCTTCACTGTGCCAAGACAGCGGAAATGATCGGTCTTCTCGTCAAGAACAGCGCCGATGTTAACTTGACAGATATCAAAGGGAACACTGCTCTCCACCATAGGGCCAAGGAAGTTTCGCCCAGCTTACCCGCTATCGAAACTCTGGTCAATGCTAAGGCAAATATAAACGTCAAGAACAAAGCCGGAATTACGCCGCTAATGGAAGCTGTAAAGAAGAACAGTCTGGACCTAGTCAGCTATTTGCTCACTAAGGGTGCAGATCCGAACAATGCCGAGCGATCACACGAGTCGGCACTCTTCTACGCATGTTGTCATGGGAATGCAGAGATGGTAAAGCTGCTCCACCAAGCTGGAGCACGAACAGATTCTGACTTCGTGGGCTTTGCTGAGACTGCCCTTCATGTCGCCTGCGGCAGTGATTCTGACGACCAGGACTTACTTGAAGTAATTCGCTACCTTGTGGAAGATGTAAAGGTAAACGTGAATCAACGTTGTGGAACTCAAGTAGAAAACGAAACTGCCATTCATTTGGCCTGCCTTCGGGACAGCCCAAGTGTTTTGAAGCTACTCACCGACAAAGATAAATGCAAAATTGACCTTGAGGTGTCCGATAGAATGGGCCGCCGGCCGATTCATCTAGCTGCCAGCAGACAGCCTGACTGTTTCCAACACTTGCTCGACCTCGGGTGTGATATTCATGCCACTGATAAGACGGGTCGTAACGCCCTGCACTGGGCGGCACAAGGCGGCAGTATCGACACTGTCCGTCGAATTCTTGACCGACCAGGTGTTGACATCGACAAACGTGATCTCGACGGCTGGACGGCGCTATGCTGGGCAGCCCGGGGACCAATGTCAGAATTGATTCAAACATCGACTCTTGATTGCACCTTGCAGGCACAAGTCGTCAAGCTTCTCCTCGACAAGGGAGCTGACAGGTCTGTAAGAGTTCCTGTCGATCGAGATATCACCTGTACGCCACTTGAGATTGCCATTTTTCACGACACTGGAGATGAAGTGATACAGCTACTCACAGAACATCCTATTCGTGAGGACAGTTTGAATTCTTCCCTGAAAAGAGGGCCTCTGTATCGCGGACTATATTGTGATTTCTGCGGAGCGGTAAGCATTTAATATTCTCTCAAAATTATCTCGGGCGTGTTCAAATTCGCTAACATAGAGAAAATAATTTAGAATATTCGCCGTACAAGATATTATTGTCAAGTTTGCTATCATTATGACCTCTATTTTAAATGTTTTTCTCATAAGGAAGCATTTCATGAAGATGATCATCGTTTCAAAGGCTGCATACGAGAAGACGGCAGGAGAATTAGCTCAAATTGAGATTTTTGAACTTGAATCTCTATATGGCTGCGTGGATAGACACAGGATGAAAGCTTGTAGAGTGTCTGGACTATTGGGTGTTGAAGCTTTTTTGTGGCTTACATATCCACGCATCGGAAATGCTAACGCTCATGGCTCCACGATGGTTTTTCTTTACAGATTTTCTAGGGCTTGAATTTAGTGTCTTGTTTCGTCAGAACAGATTGCCGCGCTGATATCAATGCAAATAATGGAGAATAGCTAGTTGATGATTTTATAAATACAGTATGCTACCCGTTTAATCGTTGTAGTCGCTCGGTAGAAGGCCTAGGGGAGGCGTCAAGATCAAACCTGTGCGCTGCTTCCATGATTCTGGTGGTCACTCGTGTCAAGGCCCATGATAATTGGTTTTCATGGAGCATTGCAGCTTACTCTTCGATATTTCATCCACAGGAACATCTACCTAGACTCGTTGGACATATTTTGTGATAGTAAAATAGCCCTTTCCCTCCGAACTCCCCCAGAAGCGGTGTTACCGGCAGCAGGAAAGGAAATCCCATCTGTAGTCATCGTTAGTCACTGCCGTCTAAATACGAGTACTGTATGCTATCGAGGAAGTTAATGCCATAGCTCCTGTCGGGATATTCGTCAAAACTTAAATCTGTAAGGTAGGCATGGTGGGTTGACACTCATCTGTATCATGCGACTCCATCCGCTCCTGCATGTAGACCGACCACAGACGAGCCGCGACAGGAAGTTGCGGCTGGAGATGCAGAGATAAAAACCACCAGAGCTTCATCTTCGATCCTTTTTGTTCTTTTTCCATCAATATTCTGTCATTCTCTTCTCAACACTCTGCACATTTGCCCACGCCTCTTGTTATTTTCTAATCAAGGTCTTCACTGCCGCTTAGATGAACCGATGACCCTTCATACTATCGCAACCAAATGCCATCTTAACACATCTACATATGCAGTGTCTATTCAACGAATGGCAATCCATCTCAGAGCAACTCTCCGGTACGCTGGCTTCAAGGGCCATCATCAGATCCTGAGAGGATTCTCGTCGCGTTGGGAGGGGATTCTCATCATTGACGGCCTTCAAGGTAGGGACCCCTGAGATGATACCCCGGAGTCCCAGTGAAGATAAAGCAGAGCCGAGGCACTGCCCTTCTTCTCGTGCGCAATGCTGTTGACGATACAAAAGTCATCCTTCTAAGGGATGAAAGGGTTGAGAGGGGGTCGGGTTCACGCTTTCTCTTCGGAGTTTCCTTGACGCCGCACCCTACCAGCCGACTAGCGACATTCGCCAGAGCTGACAAAGGAAAAAAAAATGTTTTAGGTTTTCCAACTGGCTTTCCAACAGCCATAGTCACATGAACGCCTCGAGATAACCCACGACCGATCGATGACTCTACTTTTGAGTTTGAGGAGCCAATTCCCGCTCGGAATTCAGAAGTAGGCTTCTACATGATATCATGTATGAACTTTGTTGCTGACTTCACATACAGACAAGCACACAGAGTGAAGATATGTGGGAGGTGTTTGGTCTTCAGCCGGCTGCATGTGGATTGGAAGAAAGGGGCATCCCATTCAAGGTTCAGTGTTTCGTTGGTTCAGTGTTTTTGTTGCTTTTCTTTTTCAGTCTGCTCTTAGATCTATGGAGTATGTATGTACATGTATGTAGCAATTCCAAGCTTTTTTATTTGCGCTGGCCCAATCTACCATATGTGCACGAATCGTTCGCCGATGAACATGACAAAGCAATCTGATTCGACCATCTACCAGCGGTAGAAGACTTGATTGCAATGTTCATCAGGGATACGATACAACGATGAGCTATTCTACGTCTCAGAGGGGCTCTCAAGCGCCATATCCCAAAGGGATCTTTTGATGCGTTTGAAGCGATTCATCACTGACGAGTTTCGCGTCATCCCTTTGCAAAGGCACTCTCAGTGGAGAGCGCTCAATGCCGAGGCATTGCACTTAGCTTCTTGACAGGACCAGTGGTGAGCACAGTACGGGGTCCGTACTCTTTATATACCTCAGGTACGTGCTGAATTCAGAACAAGTTTTTGAATTTCCAGTAAAGGGCCGATATGCACGAAAGTGAAAGTAGCGCCTCTTGAAGCCATAGCTAGGCAATGTTCCCGTAGCGCAGTCGCAAAGATAACTTTTCTACTCAATAAAACTCAAGAGCCCTGTGATATCTTTTAATCCTACATCCTGATACGGCGTACTCCGTACATGTGTCATCCTCATAGAAGTCCCAGATATACGTCCAAGGTTTCGAATATGAGAGGCTTGGACGGAGTTCATACGAAGGTACCCTGGAGTAAGTATACCGGTTCTTATCGCTTATCAACGAGTTCCCAAAATGGCAAAAGATGGGTCTAGCAACCACCTAGCGCCAAGCTCTTCTCGATGTCACTGCTCGCTGTTGTTGTTCTATTCCTTCAAACTTTCACCACCAACAACACAGCAGCTATGAATAGCTTTCCAGCCAAGGAGGAACAGCTCCTGATGGATCCCGTCGAGTTCTGGAGCAGCCAAAAGGCCCCCAAAAGGCCCTCCAGCTCCGCTTCGCAACGGCCATCAGTGCGCTCTGCAAGCAAGGATCGCGACGACCCGCTGCTCACGGCGCCTCCTGCTCGGGTCAGGGCTCCCGAAAGGAATGAGTCGCGACAGTCGCGAATTGCTGTGGTTTTAAAGTCGCCGGCCCATCTGAATAGATCGTCATGGTCTCACGTCGAAGGCGAGAATGATGGTGATAGTAGAGCGGCAGCGGCATCATCACGGCAAGTCACTCCCAATTTCGCTTCACGCGCAAAGAAGGAAACGCCAGTGCCTCTCCCTAAAACGCTCATCACAACATCAACAACGACAACATCGGCAACAACCACCTCAATTCGCACACCAGTGCCTCTACCAAAACCCTTGTCAAGAACATCAACACTAGTAGCCGGACCCGCAGCTGCGCCAGTGGCTGTATCAACGGTAGCACGAGTGGCAGCACCTACACCAATACCTCTTCCCAAACAGTTGATGAGAACACCAGCGCCAGCAACTTCAATTCCAAATGCAGCAACACCAATCCCAAATTCAATACCGGCTCCAGCCTCGTCACCAGTACCAGCGCCGGGTTCCCAACCAAGCGCCGGCCGGGGGCGGCCCAAAGGTTGGAAGCCCGGCATGTCTTATGCTTCACTACGAGGCCCTATTTCTCCAAAGCCTGTCAAAGAGAGAACAGGAAGACCTGGTCGGCCATCTAAACCAAAGCCTCCTCTTCCACTGGGTAACCCAAAGCGCCGCGGCAGGCCGCCAAAAGCGCCATCCCCTCTACCGTGGCAAGTCTACCGGTCCCTGCCAACCTCGTTTACTGCCTTTTTGTGTGAATGGAGTGGCTGCAAAGCTGAGCTTCATAACCTGGATACTTTACGACGCCACGTCTCTGTGGTGCACTGCCGGAAAGCGCCACTTGTTTGTTGTTGGGGGAAATGCGCGCAAAGCTCGCAAAGCTCGGCCCCTTACCAGTTCCCTGATGTACCCTCGCTTCGTGCACACATTGAGAAGAAGCATCTCATACCATTCAGTTGGCATACTGGTGACGGCCCGCAGAACTATGGTGCTCCTAATCAGCGGTTGAAAGATGAGGAAATCCCGGATTATCTTAAAGACGATCAAGGCAATCAAGTGACGCCGTCTATACGAGATCAAGAGGTGGAAGATTTTGCAACGTGGAAACATAATCGTCAGAAACTAAAGGATCTGCTGGTCCAATTGAATGACAATCTACCAAGCGAAGAATCAGATTCTCCTATTGACGAAGATTGATAAGGAGGAGGAATAAGCATATGATACCCTTGGCTAATGATAAAACTAGCAGTAGCTGATACATCTTGTTCACAAATGATTCAAGTATATAGACCTATTCCATATAGCGAAGAAAGAAGAAGCAATTCATAATTGGGTAGGATGTTGAATCCTTACCCTTACACCGTACTTCATCTACGCATCCAGATCATGGTGCAAAGATGCGAGCTCATTTGCATCTTGAAACCAAACGCATTTAGTAAAAGTAGCGGGTAAAGAAAGAAAACAATAGAGTGCGCAGACGCATTAAGCCGCTACTCAGCAGAGAGACGCTGCATTGATGCCACACTCACAGCACAAAGACACATCTCCATCATACAGCACTGTCGCGGCTAGATAGTAGCCCATCTCAACAGCGTGGCCGCAGCAATGACAGGCAATACACTAACAAGCTCGCCCAAGCCAGCGTATTCGGGCGGGATTCTCGCATTGACAAACGCCCCAGCAGCCAACAGGATGGCGAACAAGTTGTACACAAAGCTCCAGCCAAAGTTGAAGGCGATTCTGCGCATGGATTTTCGGCTTACCGCAATGACGGTGAGGATGCCGGCGAGGCTAGGACGCATAAGAACAATATCGGCTGCCGATTTGGCGACATCGGTACCCTCTTCGTTCATGTGTACACCGATAGTAGCCTGGGCGAGGGCGACTGCATCGTTGGTCCCATCACCACAGAAAATAACGACAGGTTTCTTTAGCTTGCCGACCTTGTTGGTCTGTTCTGTAGAGACAGGGATTTGGAGAAGGTTCTGAATGTATGCTTGCTTGTCGGCGGGGGAGCAACGGGAACGAACATTGGCCTCGATAATGTTCAATCGTGCTGCGACAGAGCATACAGCGCCATCGTCGTCTCCTGAGATGATGTGAACCGAGATGCCATGATTAAGCAGAGTCTGAATCGTAGAGGCAGCATCTGGTCGAATTGAATCTTGGAGGGCAAAAATCGCAGCGATGAAACCGCCAATCGTAAAGCCGAAAACTGTGTATCCATTTGACAGCATTGATTGTACGACTGAATTGGATTCGAGGCAGAGCCAGCGGGAGTTGCCTGCCTGAAGAGTCAAGCCAGATGCCTCCGCGATACCTTCGACGCCTTTCCCTGTCAAAGCTTTTGAGCTCGATACCGGCGCGGGAGATATGTCCTGGCCTTTTAGATGTAACGCCATTGCGGCGGACACTGGATGCTTGATGCCATCAACAAGACCAAGAAGGAGGGACTTTGTAGCGGTCTGGTCACCATCTGCATACCATTCCTGTACCACTGTCAACTTGCCCTCCGTAATGGTACCAGTCTTGTCGAATACTACGTGTGATGTCTTATAAGCAACCTCAAGACTTTCCGCCGATTTAAAAACAACGCCCCGTTCAGCGGCAACACCGCTAGCAATGACTACAACCATGGGTACCGCTAGGCCGATGGCACAGGGGCAGGACACTATCAGAACGGTGATTGCATAAGTGATTGCTTGGATCGTGGCCTCGCTTCCAGATAGGTCGTGGATCTTAATGCCAACGGCGATCCAGATACAGAAGACAATAACGGTGATGGCAACGACGACAGGGACAAAATAGCTTGCAACACGGTCAGCTATGGCTTGAACCCTTGGTTTCGACAACTTTGCCTCGTCCACCATGCCGGCAATAGTACTGATCGTATTGTCGCCGGGAAGTCGAGTCAGTCGAACGTATAATGTACCTGAACCATTGAGAGATCCGGCAATGATGGGAGAATTACTATGCTTCACTACCGGCATTGACTCTCCAGTCATCATAGATTCATCGACTTCAGAATTGCCAGATATCACCGTGCCATCGGTTGGAATCCTCGAGTCGGGAGCGACCTTGAAGACGTCTCCATACTGGAGGAGACGAGCATCAATCTCCCTTTCGCCTTCGTCAGTCACAATGAGCGCTGTGGTATTCTGAAGAGATCGAATCGAGATGGATTCCACGGCCTTTTGGCGAGCCATGGCAGCCACCCAGCGGCCTACCATGATGAGGGTTACTAATAGAGTGCTGGTCTCAAAGAACTGACCGGTCGACAGGGGCTTTCCCGAAGCCAAGTAACCAAAGGAGACAACTGAAAAGATGTAAGCTGCACTAGTACTGAGAACAATGAGAAGGTCCATTTCGATAACCCTCGAGAAGACAAGAGCCTTGAGGGCCTTTGGATAGAATGGACCAGCGACTATGAATTGGACGAGCGTTGCCAAGGCCAAGGATGCCGAGCTGTATTCCAGCTCGTGCTTGGTGAGAGGAGCCCAAGCCATGACCAGAACCGGAACAGTAAGGCAGGCAGAGAGCAGCGTCATGTAACCGATATGACGGACGTGTCTGTTGCCGGCCTCGAGTGTTGGATCCCCGCGAGCCGTTGCGAGCTGGATTGGAACGTCACCCCAGCCACGTTCAATCAAGTCTCTTGCACCGATAATGTCGGCATTGAAACCAACATTGACAGTCTTGTCATCAACGACTTTCACTTCAGTAACCCCGTCCGGCCAAGGCTGATTGACAAACGCAGCTACATCGCCGCCGCAAACAATGATATCGAGGCTGGAGCCTTGATTCGTAATTCTTTCACATTTGAACTCCGTAGTTCTCTCGAGGTGCTTCGTCACCTCAGCTGCAGAAACAGAGCCAACTAGGTCAAACTCTGCGCGAGCAAGCACTAAACTGGTCTTTAAGTTCTTGACGGACGGGAGGGCACCGAGACTCCGAATTAGCTTTGTCTCGCATCCGGTGCAGGTCATGCCTGAAATGCTGAGAATCACATGTTCTTTTTCATTGTTGGAGGACAGGCTCTTTTCAACATCAGCATCTCGGGCAATGTTGGTAGAGATTTCTGTCGATCTTTTGGCAGACCGACTTGGTCGCGTTTCAGCACAGCAAGAGTCGGCACAAGATTCCGCCACGCTCGGGGGTTTCGATTTAGCTGGACTTTTGCCATTGTCCAGACGTTTCTCATTCAAGATGACAGACTTCTTCGTGGAGCAGCAGTTTCCACTTGCCCTATCAGCAGCACAGCAGGAGTCGATAGACGAGCGTGAACGAAGCGACAGCGTCTCTCTTGAACGACGTCGCACACTCCCCGAGGTTGAGCGGCGTTGAAGATTACAGCAAGTTTCTTGCCCAAGGGCGATGAGGGCACGGCAGATGCATCCAAGAGCCTCAAGTTTGTCCATGTACATGTCCCGAATCTTGCGAGAGTGACCATCACATGGCTTGCCGTTTTTGCCTCGACTGCAGTTGAAGGTCGGCTTATTAGTGCTTAGTCCTGCGAGTTGACAAGGTTAGATTTACTTATACATGGGGATTGGTCGAGCGATTGGGTTACTTACCAGACTCAGGACCTTCGCATTCACGCAGCGCAAGGCGATCCAAGCAGGTTTGGTCACAGCATGGAGAAATTTTGCCCTCGCAGCAGGGTGGTGCTTTCATAATATCGGGACATGGTTTGTCTCCCTTGGAACAGCAACCCTTACTGCAGTTGGACTGAGAGATCTGCGGAGCACAGCAGTCATCCTTGAGGTCGACCTCTTGAGCCTTGTTCTCGCATGTCTTATCAGTCTGTAGCTCTTCTACTGATTCACCACAGCATGCATCCTGGCATTGCTTGTCGTCTGACTGAATCGATTTGTTGCAATCAGCATCAGCGATTTCAAGCTTCTCAAGGCTGGAATCTGGTACATCGTCAACGCAGCAGGAATCCTCTTGCTCTGGAAGCTGGGTGGAGCAGTTGTCTTCCTCTGGCGGTGCCTTGGAGGGCGGTTCACAGCAGCTAGAGCCGCAGGCCATGATGGAGATTTGGGTAATTCTGGTGACTCTGGATGATTTGGCCTTGGGTTCAATGGAGAGACACGTCAATGGAGGTCAAGTCAATGAATGCCAAGCGTGCACGGTAACCCAAAATGGCGACCTCGGACGGATGAGAGATGACCCCTCCCGAATGTCACCAAATAGAATAGCAGGAGACATATTGCCTAGAATCTTGCCCTCTATATTGGGATAGCAGCGACTGATACATTCGTGAAGCATGACACATTTGGATATTGATTCAATAGAATCAATTATGCAACATGGGAATGTCAAGCCCATGGATGGATTCATAGCATTTGATGCTCGTGTTGGAATAATTGATGGTTGGCTGAACCTAATGAGGAAGAGTGTCCACTTAACCTTAATTGACACCACAACAAAGTCTATCAATATTCTTGGCGCAAATGGCGTCTTCCTCCTCAGTATTTTGTGATCCTAATCATTCCGAAAAAGTATAGCGATGTTTGTTGGGTTTATTCATCCTCACACTACGGGCTACATGCATTTTGAGGGAGCGACTCACCTCTCCAGATGGCATTGCTGCACGACTTTACAAATACTAGGCCGAGAGAGTGCTACCCTATTATCTACTGCCCGTGTATAAGCGAAGAAGATATATACGTGCATGCTTCAGTCCAGCTTGTTCAAGGAGCCAGGGTCATCCCATCTATTTAGTGAAGGTGATGACAGTGCATGTGCCGAACGATATTCTTCAATGCTACCGTATGCAGCACAAGTATGCATTCCAATACACCAAATACGGACATAGCTCTCAGGTTTTAGCAATCCAGACGAACACCAGATACCAAGATTAGCAACTGGCCGCTTCAGCCTCCATGCTATCTATCTAGTAATACGAGTATTCAATGCTTCATCACCGGGCTTCCGGTCAGCATATACAAAGAGGGCGCGCGCGGCTGTGGCGCTGCAGGGAAACAATTGCAATGACGGGAATCACGGCGCCTCGTCCAAGCCGATCAGCGTTGGCGGAGCTTATGGAGCATCACGGCCCACCCCTTTCCGCCATGTCGGGCTTGAAACAACCGGAGAATGGAGCATCGTAGTTCTATTTTTTCTTTTTCTTTTCTTGCCATTCCTTGTTTCGAGCAACTGATGGGATGATTACATCATGGCATGAACATGAA